GAAGTTGAGCAGGTTTCAACATCGTTTATGAAAATGAACATTACTTCTACCAAATTTATCGATTTTTTGACAAGTTCAAGCTACGGGGCTGGGAGTTGGTACAGGGGGTAATCGAGCATGCTGATTACGAATATGATAACCATCTTCAAAAAGGCTCATTACTTCTATTGGTTTAATCGACTTTTGCAATGTTTGAACCACGGCGCTGGAGGTTGGTACAGGCAGATAATTGAGCATGCTGCTCACGAACCCATTCTTATTTTACAAGTTATAAATTACCTTCACTGGCTTTATCGGTTTTTTGCAAAGTTCAAGCCTTGGAACTGGGATTTGGCACATGGGAATTACGATTGTAATAAGTGTTCTTGAAAGTACCTATTTCTGTCGATTTTTCTATTCTTTGTAAAATTAGAGCTACACGGCTGGCATTTAGCACAAAGCTGTATGTGAGCAGGCTCACTGCAAAGATGGTGACGGTTTTTGAGAATACCCATTACTTTTATTGATTTCATCTTTTTCAAAGCTCAAGCTACTAGGCTGAGATGGCACTAGTCCGCGGGTGAGTGAGCATGCTGAGAATTCTATAATCGCACTCGGAATTGACGAAGACAGTAAATTTACCTAAAGTTGTTATAAATTCACTTTTGCCCGCCTTTACCTTTTGAAATCCTGCCCCTAAAATCAGAAAAGCACAAAGAGTCTGGTCTCGAACGAGAAGGATTATAAACTGAGGCGGCAAGATATTTCTATTAAGAATTTCTACGAGTCAGTATCTAATTATACAGAAATTTTCTTGAAATTTACTCCTTTTAATTCCACTCTGCAAAAACCATACTTCTGCCTCTGAAAGCAGAAAAGTGGTCTCTGGGGAAGGACAGACCCAAGAGCTTCATCCCACAGAACATTTTCACTGAAGCTTTTGGCCCCCAAACTTCGCAAACCACAAAACTCAAAAACCACACTTTTGGCCCTAAAAGCAAGAGAGGGAGCTTGGTCTCGAGGGGAAAAGACTCATAAGCTCAGCCAGCAGGATACTTTCGCTGAAAATTTTTGGCTGTCAATGTTCATTCAAACAGTTGATTGAAATTCAGTTCTGGCCCTTCTACTTTGTAAAAACTATACTTCTGCCTTTAAAAGTAAAAAAAGCACGAAGTGCTCTTTAGGGAGGGACAGACCCATGAGCTTCATCCGACAGGACATTTTGCTAAGACGTTAGACCCCCAGACTTCGCAAAAAACCACACTTCTGGCCCTAAAAGCAAAAAAGCACAACGAGCTTGGTTTCGAGGGAAGAAAGAATTATGGGCTCAGGCAGCAAGATAATTTCGCCAGAAGTTTCTGGGTGTCGATGTTTTATTATACAGAAACTTGTTTGGAATTCATTTGCGGCCATTCTACTCTGCAAAAACCAGACTTCTGCCCCTGAAAGCAGAAAAGCACAGGGAATTTAGTCTCAGGGGAAGAAAAAATCATGGCTTCGCAGCAAGATCGCCAGAAGTTTCTGCTCAGATAAGCGCCGGGGGCAGGCGGCCATGCGATTTATGGGAGGGCGGGCACCGGAAAAATAGTCCGCTGATTTCTTGCGGTCCGCTTGCAGATATTTGGAAGAATTTTAGCGAACTTTTAGACGAATACTTGGAGAACAATCGCGGTTTGCTTATAGATCAGGTGCGGCGCAGTGGCCGCATTCTCGCGAATTTTCCGCGAGAATATGCAAAATTTTTGAGGGCCGCACGGTCCTTTGCAGGACCGAGCAGCCCCCAAGTACTTTCCGCTGAGAGAAGGTACCTCAAACTTGAGTAATTAAACCAACGGTGGCACCTTTGCCACACAGAGTCTTACCTGTGCTCGACGTAAGCCCGAAACTGCCTAAAAAGAGTCCGAGCGCCTGCAGAAAATTCTGTGTTGCTGCCCGCTGGCAGAACATTAGACAGTAAAGGAAGTACCGCTCGCTGAAGGTTTGGCCACGCCCCAAAATTCTGCTGACCGCTTGCAGAAAAGCGTGAGTTTGCGGACCGCCTGCCCCGGCGATTATCTGAGTGGGTGTCAATGATTATACAAAAACTTGCTCAAAATTTACCTCTGGCCATTCTACTTTGCAAAAACCACACTTCCTCCCCTAAAAGCAAAATAGATAGCTTGGTTATGAGGAAAAATCAGAACCATGAGCTTCATGCGACAAACATTTTCGCTAGGGCGTTTGATCCCCCTAAACTCCGCAAAAACCAGTACTTCTGGCCCTAAAAGCAGAAAAGCACAAGGAATTTGTCTCTAGGGAGGGACAAACCCATGAGCTTCATCCAACATGACATTTTCTCTAAGGCGTTTGACCCCCCCCCCCCCCAAACTTCGCAAAAACCACATTTCTGGCCCTAAAAGCAGAAAAGCACGAGGTGTTTGATCTCGAGAGAAGAAAGAATCATGGCTTCAGGCAGCAAGATATTTTCGCCAGAAATTTCTGGGTGTCAATGATTATACACAACTTGCTTGAAATTCACTTCTGGCTCTTCAACTTTGCAAAACCCATACTTCTACCCCTAAAAGTAAAACAGCACAGATAGCCTGGTTTCGAGGGAAGAAAGAATTATGGGCTCAGCCAGCAAAATATTTTCGCTGAAAATTTCTGGATGTCAGTGTTTATTCATACAGAAACTTGTTTGAAATCCACTTGTGGCCATTCTACTCTGCAAAAACCAGACTTCTGCCTCTGGAGGTAGAAAAGTGGTCTCGAGGGAAAGACGGACCCATGAGCTTCTTGTGACAGGAAATTTCCTTCGCTGAAAATTTTGGCCTTTTAAACTTCGCAAAGACCACACTTTTGTCCCTAGAAGCAAAAAAACAGGGAGCTTGGTCTTAAAGGAAGAAAAGACTCAGAGCTCAGGCAGCAAGTTATTTGCGCTAAAAATTTTTAGTTGTCAAGGTTTAATTATACCGAAACTTGCTGGAAAGATTACGGCCCCTTCTTCTCAACCACACTTCTGCTCCTAAAAGCGGAAGCATAACGAGCTTGGTTTCGAGGGAAGGAAAGACTTAGGGTTTTATGCGACAGGAAAGTTTCGGTAAGATTGTCCTTTAAAAGAAGGCGTTGGGCCAGGCTTTATTCTGTTCTAAGAAATGAGTCCGTTCACTGGCAAGACAACATCGAAGAAAATGCTGCTTCGTTTTTATCTACATATCTGAGTTTTCAGCTGCTGGAGACATAACTTGACGCTTCCTTTAACATGGCACTTTTCCTGGAAATCAATCTGAGTTTTCGGATGAATCAGCTGTTCTAAACAGGTGCTTGGAGGTAGCTTCCAAGAGCTGTGGTATCTGGGCGAAGATATCTGCAGGAGGAGCAAAGATGTTTTGATAGTCACTGGTAGTAGTTTCTTTTCTTAAGAGCATAGTGTTTTGTTTCTACTACTCACAACACGCGAAAGGTCGCTGGGGTGTTTCTCTTTCTTGGGATTTTTAGTTAATTCATGGCAGATAACAATGTATCTGCCCTACCCACCTACTAGCGACCCGTAGGGTCGCTAGTCTTATATATAAAGCTGAATGTCTGTTTGTCTGTCTGTATGTATGTCTGTGTGAATATACGTAGGTTCTGAACAGAAAATTCCATTTTTGAACCGATCCGAACCAAACTTTACACACATACACTTCAGGGCCGGGTGGGTGTCATAGGCTACTTTTCGTCATCGATCGATATTGATTTTATTGATTTTTCAAAATGTTCGAGCTACGAGGCTGGGAGTTGGCACATTGGGGTAAGTGAGCATGCTGATTACGAATATATTATTGACAGGGCCAGGCGGAGCCGGGTTTGCCAGCTAGTCTTATATATACAGCTGAATACCTGTTTGTCTGTATGTCTGTAGTATGTTCCGAATAGAAATTTTTATTTCTGAACCGATTCGGGCCAAACTTGGCAAACATACACTTCGGAGCGGCGCGGGTGTCACAGGCTGCTTTTAGTCATCGATCGATATCGATTTTATTGATTTTTAAAAAGTTCGAGCCACGAGGCTGGGAGTTGGCAAAGGGGGTAAGTGAGCATGCTGATTACGAATACAATATTAGCTTCTAGAATCATCCACTATTATCAATTATATCGATTTGCAAAGTTCGGGCTACGGGCCTGGGAGTTGGCACAGGGGGGTATGTGAGCATGCTGATTACGAATACAATATTAGCTTCTAGAATCATCCAATATTATCAATTATATCGATTTGCGAAGTTCGGGCTACGGGCCTGGGAGTTGGCACAGGGGGTAAGTGAGCATGCTGATTACGAATACAATATTAGCTTCTAGAATCATCCACTACTTTTATCAATTATATCGATTTGCAAAGTTCGGGCTGCGAGCCTGGGAGTTGGCACAGGGGGTATGTGAGCATGCTGATTACGACAAGATTAGTTTTTAAGATTATTTGTTACTTCTATCGATTTTGTCGATTTTTTTGCAGAGTTTGAACTAAGGGATTGAAAGTTGGCACCGGGGGTAATCGAGCTTGCTGATTACGAATACAATGTAGTTTTTAAAATTATCCGCTTTTATCTATATTATCGACCTTTTGCAAAGTTTGAGCTAGGGGCTGGGAGTTGGCACAGGGGTAAGTGAGCATGCTAATGACTATCACAGCCCGAGGGAATTGGCGTGTAGAAGTGGGCCCAGGGAAATGCTGTACAGAGATAAAGATGACCTTTATCATAGTGATCCTACAGGGTCGGGTAGAGCAGGGTAAGCCCGCTAGTTAACCATATATTCGGGCGTTGGTACATTGTGAGAGTATCGAAGAAGTATGTAATTTTTAGCAATATGTCGCAATCAGAGGTCAGCGAAACTGTTATGCCGTTCAACGGAATAAAGAGAATTAATGCAGTACATTGACGGATGCTATCTGTTGAGCTGTTTGGACGGCCTTGGCCAGATTCAGTTTGAGTTAGAATGCGGTACCATTGTACAAAAAATCAGCCTTTCAGAATTGTTTATTTCCATTGCTTACTTCCTTCCCTTGATGACTGTGGATGTATGTTGAATTCATTGAAGTGTCAACAAAAAGCTTATGAATAGGAGCATAAAGCTGCGGGTCAGAATGGGTCGAATAAAATACATATAATGTGCACTAAAAACATTCTCGAACCTTTAGCGGTCAAATGAAGTTGCAATCAGTATAGGGTTCTGTCTAAGGACTGACTTCTTCTCTTGTCAGGGGACCTCCTTTTTCGATGAATTTTTTACTATCTTCTCCTGCCTCAGCGCTGTGGGATCCCTGAGAAAAAGCAGAACCATGGATAAGTAGGTACTTAATTGAAGAAACATACAGCACGATTTTGAAGTAGGCTGTCAAAAGAAAGCAAATGGATTGAACTTTATCGTTGAGAACGAGTGGAAGACTTATCTCAACACCAACCTGTTGTGATTTTGTACGATCGCTAGTGCAGAGCTTCTTGCAGCAGCCTGTTGCTGCCATAATGGCTAGTAATGCTGTCATGCCAACTAGAGGAACTATGATTATGACGGAATCAGAAAAGCACTGAAATGCATGAGCAAATAGGAAACCTTACTCAACCTTACGGTTCTAACTGGAAGCATTTTCAACCAAAGAATTTTCAAACTCACCGATTCTTGTTTTCGGGTAAATTCAAGGTAACTGTTGAATGTTTGCATCGTTCCATTGTTTGGAGCAGGTATGACATCAAGAAGAGAGCACATTAAGCGATAGAGATCAATATTTTGAGGAACTTGAGTTATCTGAAATGAATAAGAAAGCATATAATAACTTCCTTTCTTTTTGCAGTTCCAGAGGAATTAGTTTCACTACCCTATTTTACCATTGGCTACAATGGACAAGGCTGACAGTCATGGAGATTTCGAGTTTCTGAAGATCATCATTTATTGATGTGGATGGTTTGAATCTTTTTCTCGCACAGAAAAAGTGTTTCTGTTATCGTCGTGCTTTTTTCATTTCAATTCTTATTAGCTAGCGTTTCTCTAACTTGCTGTCTACCTGTGCTCTTCTCTCATTTATCTGTGTGATTCTCTGCACCCACTGCTCGCATTACTATTACGCCTGGAGCTTCTGACTGTCACTCTATAATCACGAAGATAGTATTACCTTTAGTTACGTCCCCTCTGGCTTTTTGGTGTCCAGAGCTGGTCCAAGTGAAGTTTAAGGGCTTTGGGTTTTAGAGCTATTCAGAACTAATTAGAGTGTGCCATTGCTGTGATTCCGCAGGGTTCAATTTTTTAGGAGGGTTCCGCAGCACTGTATGCAAAAACTTCATAGAACACGTGGAAAGCTTTGGAGAAAAGACGCCGGAGCTTTCCCCACTTCTCCGCGAAACGCCAGGCGCAACTTCTAACGAGGGAAGGACCCATTGGTCGAAGTGGGCTTCCCACAGGTGATGCATATCATTCTATTAGGAATACTAACCTCAAATCCGTGTTCCTTAGCTGCTCAAATGTTATTTGGGAAAAGTTATGAGCAATCGTTTTCTCAAGATGACCATCACTTACGTTATGTTAGCTCCGCCAAGTATTGCATATACATGGACGAATGGCCGAGAGCATAGCTCAGATACCTATAGAACAGGCACTCAAGTATTCGGATCATATGTCCTATGATCTATGCCAAAACCTGTGCAATTCGTAGACAAGGAGCCGTCCTTGATAACTTCTTTACACTATTCCCAAAGAAATGGGAAAACTGTACAGGATCTTGTTTGGCTAATATCGGTAGATCAGAGAACACCTAGAAAGGTTGCATTGGCGAGAACAATAGAAGTACCCTGGCACTCATCCCGAAAAATCTGAAAGCCTCGTACAGTACCATTTTTCATCAAGTTTGTTGGAAATTCGTAAATTTAGAGACTGTAGTCGGATGTTTTTTTTCAACAAATTCTCTTTCTGAGAATCATGTTTTGAACATTTCGTTACAAACTGCTACTCACGTTCATAATTATTCAACTCCAAAATACGAAGACGTTTTGAGAAAGTTCGCAGTTTTTTCAACGTATTGAACAAGTTATTAGGAGCGTTTCTTTGTCTCCCGGAGCCTCTAGGCGTATATACCGAACAACTTGCAAGACGCCGACTGTACGTAGAATCCGAACTCACTTTTTCCATAGTCTCTGCAACTATGCGCTGGGCTTTCCGTCCATGTCTGGACAGTGCTTGGCTGCGCTAACATAGCGAAAGCGATGTTTCTTGAAAAAAAACGATCGCTCGAAACTTTCTGCAAAGGACCATTTAGCAGCTAAGGCTGCGTTCATACTGGTCCCGAAGTTCGGGAACAGTTCGCACAGCGCTCGAATTGAGCGCTATGCTGGAACTGCTCCTGGACTTCAGCTCCTAGCTTCAGTATGAACACAGCCTAACGAGCACGGATTTAGTATGAGTGGACCAGGACCAGGATAAATGATATACCACATGTGGAAATCCCACTTGGACGGATGTCGTTCCCTTGTGAGAAGCAAAAAGAAGGGGAGGGGAATTGGCCGATATCGCTTCGTGTTTAGACAAGTTACGCAGAGTGGCTATTAAATAATGCCGTGAGAAACGGCCGCCTCTCGTGAGCACGTAAATATAGAAGTCGCCTTTATAATGGGAGAAATTTTTGTTAGATAACTTGTGTTAATGATTGGAGGAGAGAAAGGGGATGGGTGGAGAAAATTACTACGTATTTGAAGTTCAATATCACTTACTTTGTTCTCGCTGCAACAATTTAATAACCTGCGGCGAAAGGATCATACCTAATTTGGTTTCAGTACGTTGTGCACAGATTAACTTCTGACTAATACTTTTAAAACACTTCCTTTTGTTCTCTGCTCTTTGCCGTTTTTCCCCCTATCATTTTGATAAATAGGAAAAAAGTTACAAACCCGTCGCTTAAATTTAATAAACGTACCTTCTGCTCTTTGGTAATATCGGGCCCTCTCAAAACGAGTACTGCACGCATTTCAGGCTCATCTGGGTTCAGACCATGCGTTGATATGTGTAGTTTCTGATTATGCCTCCTGGATAATTATAACATAAGAGAAAGAAGTCAGCTAAATGAGCGCCGTACTGTGCTTCTTTCACAGCGCTACAGTCAAACCGTATTTCGTTGCCATATTCCGGCTCGAGTATAATGTCTCCAATTCTTGAGCTCATTTTCGTAAAATGGTATCGATCATGAAACGTCTGCAAAAGTTCCAGAAAGCTTCAACGGAATCAGTGTTAGAAGCCAAAGAAAATATGCAAAACGACCTTTCGATGAACACAGTTACTATTCCATATGTTATGGCTGATCTGATCCTCGAATGTTGCGGCTTTTGATATCGAACCCATACATGCTGCCTAACATATAGGCTAGGTAAAATCTAACTGCTCGTGCTTATGTTTGAACACCAACGCGCTGGAAACGTTAGGTCCCGAAACACTACAGGCTTGTCACGGGCGCATTTAACTTCAGTGGCTTGGCAGAATGACAGCTTTAGGACATTTATCGTTCTTGATTCCACTAGAGATGGGCTGAGTCCTACACTGTGTTTTGAAGCTTTTGAAGATAGGAATAATCGCTTTTACGGACGTGGAAGGTGTTTGAGCGGACAGCGAAACCCAGTCCCTTGTAGGACGATTGGATGCTGGGGCCAATGATCATTGCCGTCGAGATGGGTACGGTGTCTCCACCCGTCACACTCTAACACTACGAGCCAATCCTCTTTAGTGGGCGGGCTTTCGCCTTCCTCCCAAACAGCACTTTTTATATTCGGAAAAGCAAGTTATTGATATCTTTTGCAAAGAACAGTCTTTAGCTTATTCAGGAGTACGAGAACGATCATTTTAAAGTCGCCAATCTGCGAGTTGCTGCTTTTGAGAAGACTTTTGGAGTCATTTAGCCAAATTACACTGCAATGTTAAAAAGAACGTGAAAGCTGACGGAAGAAGTTGTGTATGAAATGACTGCCTATATTTCTCTCTATACCCGCTCGCTAGTGTTGCTTCAGCGCACTCAGCGGGCAGTTACCCTATTTTCAGGTGTATAAGCCGCAGGATGTTCCTAGCTTACATCGACCAGCCCGAACACATCAAAAGACCTCGCAACCAAAGAACCCTATACCGTGCTGCGTTGCCTGTAAGATTCGTGCGGCATAAAGATCGCTTCTCGAAACACAATGAAGCGGCTGAGCAGCTCGTTTGAAAATTTGAAAAAGTGCGGCTTATACACCTGAAAATAGGGTAGTTTCTGCATGGTGTGTGTAGAGATGTGCGTGAAAGTGTCCGTATCAAAACACGTACAAGAGAAGTTCGCTTGGAAGGTGATGTATACCCATGCATAGAGCTTTGAATGCTGCTTTCAGATAAATCTTTTACTTAAGCAAAATCCTAATGAGCGTTGTAGGTCTAAACTGATATCATCTGAACGTTTTCGGATGTGTCCATCCGTGGTGTTTTCACGGGTCGTTTTCCCTCTAGACACTTTCACTATGACTATAATAAAAGAGCCTCAATTCCTATACGGAAACGCTTCGCAGATATCAATACTTATGTAACTTTATACTAAAATAAGCCACTTTTTTATGTTCCTTAAAAAAGCTTAGAAGAACTTAAGAGGCCTAAATTGAATTGCCAGACATGATGCATGGGTGAGGCGTGCTTCAATAAGTCATTTTGTTCGGGAAAACTTGTTGCACTTATCGATTTTTTGATTTTTTGCAGTTTTCGCTCAGAGAATTCTTTATATTGGTTAAGGATAGAAGAGATATGGAATTTAGACTAATTTTGGCACATATAAAGTGTAGGATGGGGCGTATGTCAACAAGCCATTTTGTTCGGGACATATCGGTAAGTTTCATCAATTTTATTCATTTTTTTGAAGGTTTTGCCTGAATTTTTTAGTTAGCCCAAAAAGATAGAACTCGCAGTACCAAATGCTTCTTCTTGAGGCTGGATCTGGGAATCCCCCAATGGAGAGTACCATGTTGAAACCACATCATCGTCAACAGAAGGCACTGCCTGACAGACGTCGCTGTTGTTCCGAAGTTCTTCACGGTAAAAATTCTACGTGCCCAGTTCTACCTCTCGGAACGGAGAGAGGGCTGCTAAGATTTCACGAATCATTATCCGAATTATTACACCATCTCACGAATTATTATCCGGCTTTGGCGAGGTACCGCTGTCGGAAAATACCAACGTTTTTCCCAGTATTCACGGTATTGCAGTAAGGGCCGAGAGTTCAAAAAGTACTGAATTGAAAAGTTTTATCGGAGACTTTGGCTGGGAGCGCTAACGTGGATGAGCACGAGCCACAGGTAAATACCGTAAATATCGACTGGCGAGCATGCGAAGAGATGCAGAGAAGCGATAAAGGAAGTCTTAACACATTGATGACAACGCGCATTTTTAGCTGTCTGCCTTGTGGGACAATGCTTTCCACGAATAAGCTGGAAACTTTTGGTTAAAATCACGTAGACCGTTATTACAGTGTAACTACAGTAATTCTGAGAAGCAGCTGAGTAAAAGTGGCAGCAATTTTTAGATTCAAAGCGCAGTAAACTTCTGAGTTGAATTTATCCCAAGATATTAGTTATTTTAACGCAAATCAAGTCATGACACACTATGTTGGTCACATTGTCGTCAATGTGTTAAGGAGAGAGTGATAGTAATGACTGACGCCGCGTAGGCTGGAAGAAGTACATGCAAAGCTCACCGAAAGCTTTGTTAATTTCAAGCCCAAGAGATTCGCAGTTTGTCGCCAAGCATAACTGCTTCCAGAAGATCACTGGAAAGGGTCAATCACGACTTCTATTCAGACCTCCTTGACAGCTACGTCCACCTGCCTCCAAGTCACCTTAGAAAGAACGAGTATGTTACACCTCCGTTCTTCTTTCCGAGATTCGTCATGCTATTATGTTGATGAAGAATCGACAATCGTATAGCTTCCGGTGTCGACAGGATAACGCCAAGACATCTAAAAGATTTTTCGTCAGTCTATATCAAGACTTTGACGAGGCACTCCACGCGATATCTGACGGAAGGCAAGGTTCCAAGTCAAAATACCAACGAGACTCGCTGCTATACAAGAAAGATTCCCGCAACATTGGCAACAATCCCCCCCCCCTATGCCTGTTGTCTGTAGTCTACAATCTCTTTCGCGAGTCATTCTCAACAGGATCGGAAGAGAGTTAGGTTAAAAAGAACAATGCGAGCAAGCTGGGCCGGAAGAAGGTTCACTTTGAAGACTACATACAGGCGTGTCAAAGCTTATTGGAATATCAAAAGAGTACGGGATACCGGTCTGTCTCACCTTCATCGATTTAAAGAAGATCTTTGACTTGATTGAGACCGAGAGCATCATGGATGCTTTGAGTAATCAATGTTTACCCATTTAGTGCTTCACGATAATTAGTGAGCTATACATCGACTTCACAACCGGCATGACGCTATCCTACAAAGACATCACCCTTGCTATGAAAAGAGGTGTATAACAAGGCGATACTATCAGGTTGTTCCGTAACTTCGTAGTGTTTTCATTTTCGTCCTCACTTTTTTTAGGAGCGGTTGATATGTGACAATATGCGTAAATCATTGGAAAGGGCTAGTTATGCTCCTCAATATCTACCTATTAATTTGAGTGAGAAGCTGATCTACTCGAATCTCTTGGCGTTCAAGGATGGAAATCTTAAAGGGCAAAAAGGAGCAATTTCGACATCTGCGCATTTTTTCTCATAGAAAAGCGATTTTGCATAGATTTTTCCGATTATAGAACATGACATTCGGCAATCAATATGAGAAGAAAAAGCTTTGGATGACTACAAAAGACAAGATTTGAGCGGGGTGTCCCTGAACAAGACTTTTCGAGGGGATGGGCAGGACATCCTACACTGAAATTGCTGGACAATACACTTGGGTTTGAATCGAATAGAAATTCGATCATTCGAATAAAACATTCGAATATATTCGTTTTTTGAAATTCGATATTCGGAGTTCTTCCACTTTCGAATAATATTCGAAACTCGAATAATTGAGAAAACGGAATTACAATAAAATTTGAAACTCGAATAATCAAAAAATAGGGTTTCGAATAAAATTCGAAAACTCGAATAATTAGAAAACGAGGATTCGAATATTATTCGAAAACTTGTATAATCAAATAACGGGGTTTCGAAAGATTTTATTCGAATGTTTTATTCGAATAAAATCTGAATTAAATGAACTCCGTATTCAGATTATTCGACTTTGTTGCAGAGTCAACTGCTGAATTCAAGCTCACTTCGTTTTTTTTATCGCAAAACTCGGTAATGCATTTTCGCAACCGTTATGGCCTTTGAACTGTATGGAGGGTCTCATTCTTCCGACTGCTTGACAGTAAAAAAATCATCTGTGGATTATAATTGTTGATTTTTCGATCAATGAGATTGTTCGCACTGCTATTGGCACCTACTCAGCAAAGAAGCTATCAAATTCAAGCTCATGTTCCGAGTTTGCATATTGAAAGTGTTTTGGAATGCCTATTTTCCTTTCTTTGCATTGCTCATACTTGTGGTACGCAAAGGTCCACACTAGTGAGTACTCTTGCTCGCATAAGTTATATTGCACAACTGCCTTTATTCACTACTTTAGAGATTTTTTGCAAATTGGTGTATTTTGAGTAAAGGACATCGCAGTTGTAGTGCAGAATTAGACGGTTTAGATCGCCGTACGCGATTTGCCAGTTACGAGTCTTCAAATGTAACGCCAGCTTACCACAAATATCTAGCGTGTACAACTTACTAAAAAGATAGATGCCCTGCATTTTGTTCCTTTAGAATAAGTTTGTGGATAAAATTTACTTTATCGATCTTATCAATTTTTGGAGAAGTTTTAGCTGCGGGGCTGGGAATTGGTACAAAGGGGCAAGTGAGGGTGCTGATTATGGATAAAAATTTACTTTATCGATTTTGGATTTTTGGAAAATCTTGAGCTACGAGGTCGGGAGTTCACAGGGGGTAAATAAGGATGCTAATTGAAACCAAAATCTATTTTATCGATTTCAGCGATTTTTGAAAATTTTGAGCTAGGAGTTAGTATAGGGGATATGAGGGTGTTGATTATGAATGGATCGGCTTTAGCCAGATATGTCGGCAAGTTTGTGATGTAGTTGCTCTAGTTATTCGATACATTCGAATGTTTATTCGAAATTCGACTTCCAATGTTCAAATATATTCGATATTCATTCATTCGATATTTTTAATTTTCCCAATTTATTCGAAATTCATTCATTCGAGAATTTTTGAATTTCGAACTTATTCGATATTCGTTTATTCGAGATTTATATTTTCGAATCTATTCGATATTCGTTTATTCGAAATTTTTCCCTTTCGAATTTTTTCGATACTCATTCATTCGATGAAAAATTTTCGAATTACCCAAGTATACTGGACAAGAAGGAGACGGTCGATCATACCCAGGGTCAAGCAAGGGGTGTGGCACAGGATCGCTGCTTACGACCCCCCCCCCCCCCTGATTGCTGTCTTAATAAGACCCCCCCCTGAACTATAAACCTAAGATAGCATTACCAGAGTTGAGAAAGAGGTCAGGCACAAGTCTTTCGAACCCCCCCCCCCCTCCCATGAAAGCCCTCAAACGACCCCTTCTTCCTCCTCTTAACCTCTGGACCTCAAAGTGTGACATTCTGGTGGACACCATCTTTTTCTAGAGAGTTTTTAGATTTCTGAGAGCTGTACGCCCGATTTTCTGTGACTGCACTTTACAATCACACGTGATTTGACGGCTGATTTTGATCCGAATGGGCATATTGAAAGGGCCATAATTTTCTTATGGGTGGGGCTTTGGCTCCAAATTTCCAAAGTAGCAAGAAGAAGCTATGTGCTCAATACTCATACCAGCAATGGAGCGCTTTCTGGATTTTGAAGGCGAGTTAAGGGGGTGCGGCACACCCCCTTAAAAGCTACGGCAGCCGCAGCTTTTAAGGGGGTGTGCCGCACACCATTAACTATATCAAAAAAACATTTTTAGTGGACAGTATTTATATGAATCGATAGCCTAAACCTTGTAGATTTCGTGGGACTGTTTGGAGCCTGATTTGTCTTCTTAGCTCTAAGTAATATTTGGTGAAAGCACAGCGATCAAAAGCAAAAAATGGGAAAAACGAGATTTTGGTTGGCTTCTAATTCCACAGTTTGCAGGTCTTCTGAAGCGGGATTTTTGAGGTGGACAAAGAAGGAGTAGTGCTTTGTCTTGAGTGCAAAAACGGATAGCTAATTCACCTTTGAAACAAAGTTAACAATGTTACAATTTGACCATTTCATTTAGGTAGCCTAGTATCTTGAATCTTCAGAATTCGCTCACACTTTGTCTACAGAGGTTAATTGACATGCTAATTATGGATATGATACGAATATCATGTTATCACTATTATCAGATTACCCAATCACGACCCCCTCCCCTTTTGACTCCTCAATACGACCCCCCAGGTGTGGCGTGCCGCACCCCACGCTTGACCCTGATCATACCGTTTGCAAGCCAACATCTTAACAAGGTTACAACGCAGAAAGAGCCAAAAAGGCAGATTTAGTGATCTGCATGATGAAACATGACCTCACGGCAAACATCGTCAAAACTGTCCTGCAGGAATTAACTAGAAGGTACTTTAATATCCAAAGTACTCCTCAAACCTTGCTCTATCAGATTATCATTTGCTCTGCTCTTTCGCGAACCTTGTAAAGGGTGCATGTTCCGATTTAAGTGATTTAGGGGCCGGTTAGATGACTTTCTTGGAACCCGGCGAGCTCCCGTTGTAAAAGTGAGGTTGAAAAGCAGACAGGAATGTGGAAAAAGGTCGTGTGCTACGTTAAGGAGTACATTAATGTTTGATTTTAGTGAAAATCAGTAATTTTGTTGGTTTATGAAAATGCTATGAACTTATGAAACGACCTAATACATAGCCAAAGTTATTGGGAGCCGCCTTCGGAAACGTCATTCGGATATTGGAATAAGATGCGGCGGGCAGCTACATTACCTTCGCTGTAATTACCTTCACTTTACTGATGGCATCGTGTTGATAACTCCAGCATCAAGCAGGCGGAACGAATGTTGGCCCAACTATAGATGTATGTGGAAAGACCGATCTACGGCTAACTTAGAGACGATGTATATAAAAGACTGCTTGATGCCCCTTTATGCTTAACCGGGATGAACATTATTGAATGCTCAGAGTACACTTAGCTAGGTCGAGAGAGTGCATGATGCTCCTTTCATGCGCAGCGGAAACTCACAACGCTTAAGCTGTACTAAGCTAGGTTGGGAAATCAATATGATGAACGATGTAGCTTCGGAGCTGAGCAGAAGGAAACGTGCAGCATGAGGAGCATATGATACGATCAAGAACGAAGTGAAGAGGGCCAAGAACATCCGGCTTTACGCCCACACTCTACGATTCTTCTTGCTTTGACATACGCTTCAGAAAGAGGAAGCAGGATGAACATGCGGTTAGCGCCATCGAGCGTGTTGTTGGGAGAGTGACGTTAAAATGAACCGATTCATGCGACAGGGAAGGAATCAGCTATTGAAGATCGAAGTTGCCACACAGCCAACGAAACGATAAGATGAGCCGGACACGTAAAGCGTTTTGGCAACCGGTGGACAAGAGCAGTAACAGACTGAATAGTACCAATGGTCGTCAAACATAAACGAGAAAGACTCCGGCGTGATGATCAGTTAAGTCTACGAAGTTTCCTAATGAAGCTTTTCAGGCGTTCCATTTGTTTCCGGTGCAATTAGTAAACACGGGTCAACAATTGGTATCTGCTCGTGCAACAAGACTCAGTGGATTCAGTGGCCGTATTCATCTACGAACACACTGGGTTCGCGAACTCACTGGGTAAAATCGCTATTTACAAGTGCCCCGCTGGGTTGGCCAACCCATGACGTCACCAATGTGCCTCTCCAGTCTGTGTTCTATTTTTCCGTATCTCCGACACGCAGGAATCGCGCTAGACTAAAAGCGCCAGCGCTTGACACGTTTTCGGGAACTCTTATGTTCGGATGAATGGCATCAGTCAATGTCATTTGTGCGACAAAACTTTCATTTCCTTAGCCTTCCTTATTTCAGTATTCTCTCAAACCCAGACATACTTTCGACTTGGGCTCTACGCTTTTTTGTGCAAGTGGTCTTTCTTTTAGCATTGTCTCTTACCTCATAACGAGAATATTAGCCATACTTTTGAAGATTGCATGACATAGCTGACATATATGAATCTACGTATTTTGAAACGATTGTCATAGTGCAAGGCGTAGCTGAGTTTTATTTTAGGAACGCTTTTGCTATACATAACAAGTATATGTACGCCTTTCAAAGAACGAATTCCTCACATCAGTAAAATGGCATTCGCAGGGAGCGCTGAAGTCGTTTTTGCTTGATTTCTGTCATATTCATTCATATTTGTTTTGATCCCGGTCAAAATGTCCCGCTTTTGACTTAGGCGTCAAAATATAAAAAGGCTGGGCTTTTTGGTGGAAAATTGTCCAAGCTTGGTGCAGGGGCATAATAAATTACAATGATCACTAATAAAATAATTATTGTCGAAATCAGCGATTCTGTCGATTTTTAGATTTTCTGTTTGAGCGGTTTCATTTGGCTTGAAAGGAGGGATGATTGAACTTGGTGGTAGCAAGTAAAGTAGCCGTTGTGAAAATTTCCAAATTATTCTTTTGTATTTCTTGGCGAGAGCGCCCGAAAGGTAGAAGAAGTACCCTGTGTGCCCCAGAAAAGTTCCCATGTGAACCAGCTTGCCTACGTGGTGCGACGCAGCCTTTCGCTCTTTTCAACAGGTTTCTCCTGAGATTTCAACGGAACTGCTCGAAATTAACAAGTTCGAGCGAAAGGCAGCAAGACGACGTGGTACCTACGGGAATCTTGCTGGAGAACAAACGATACGTTTCCTTAGATTGGAATGTGCAAAGGAATCATGTTGTACAGAGTTCTCACTATCATGCAAACTAATACGTGACTAACATGATTACTACTTGTTCCCCTCCCATTTTTCACTCCACGATATTAAGGAACAAATGATTTTAATTAAAACCTTTTTCCCTTTTTTCTGAAGCGTTCTTGTGTGACTTGATCGGGTTGAAAACTTTTTCATCAATCTGCGAAATAAACGAACATAGACAAATATGAACAAACCTGGACAACCAAATACGTAACACGAAAGCAGGCAGATGCTCTGTTTCCTATATGAGGCTCCCTCTTTAGCCGCTGCAGTATTTGGAAAATTCCGAGATAATATGCACAGACATCGCAAAATGCATAGGCTTTCATGTTTTCACGAAAAGTTTCCGTAAAAAGCTTGTTTGCGACTTTTCAAAGATTGCCAAATTGTGACTGGCATCAAGTTTGCTAGTCTTACATCTCAGTAAATTATCTTATCAAAATTTATCCTACGAAATTCCTGTCAGTCATAAAAAGTATGGAAAGTGTTATTAATGTACATGTGTCGCTAGTAACAACCATCCCTGCTTATATAAAATCACATAATATTCAGCAAGAGGACTGAGTTCGCATGTAACCCACTGAGGAGTTTGCACAATGCTTGAGTTCGCCAACCCAGCAGTGGGTTTCGGAACCCACTAGAACTAGAAAACTTGTTTCGTGAATACCGGTATGCTCTTGACCTTTTGTGTTCGCAAACCCACTGGCTTCGCTCGTGAATACCGGTCAAATGGCTTTTTGTGGGTTCTGGAACCCACTGGATAGGCTTAACCCACTGGGTAGGCTCAACCCACGGAATTTCGGAACCCACTAGTTCCATGAATACTGGTTTTGTGAATACGGCCACAGGTGACAGGTGATTGCTGAACTATTGATGTTGAGTTTAAACAAACGCACCTCTCTGGTAAAGATTTTGATTTTGTAACCATTCTCTTGTATAGCTCTGCTCAGCTTTCGGTAGACCTGGTCAGAGTATTTCGTATTGAAAGTGTAGATCATATGTAGACCAATATGTATCCGAGTGAAGTCCACATAGTCTTCCACACACAATACGCTGTCCACTCCGTCAACCTGAAATATGCACCATTTCACGGCTGAGCGGTATAAATTCTGATGAAACAAAACACGAGAATGCATTCTTTTTCTTTCTCCTCTTGAAAACTAGGCCCTTTTCGTTATGGATTTTCGAACAGATTACCACATTTCTGCGAGAAAGAGCACGACCAGAGCGCAAATCTGTTTTTGAAGATACTGTAGCCATGTTTCAAACATCAAGCAAAATTGCTTGTTGAAGCCTCAAAAAAGCATGAGATTCGTGTTCAATATTTCATTACTAAAGACGTTTAATGTGCGGCTCTAACAACAGTGGTATATCTCATTATCAAAATTCACATTGCTTCAGAACTTATTCACGGATTTACATTGCTCAGAATTTTGGTCAGGAAAGAAACTTCGGTCTACAAGAGTTCACTGCCGAGTGGAATCGTAGAATATGAGCATATTCGGCGCTACGGTTTTGATCTTCAAAAAAGGGCAAAGTTCCTTTTTTCCTTCTAAATATGGAACGAGAGTAAGTGAAAGTAGAGGAAGATGTTGGTACGGTAAATTAGAAGCGTAAATGGTCAAATCGAGCCAAAAAGTCTGATTCTCAGTCACCTTAAATGCTAGCACCAAAAATTGCCGTATTTTGTCTGATTCATTTGTGAAAGGCACTGCTTAGAGAATTGAAGAAAGTCTCTTATTGGTATAGTAGCCATAGGCAGGCAGATGAAAAGTGCAACAAAATTGTGATAGCCTAGTATGCTGAAGGACTGTCATCTCGGAAGAAGATAAATTCAAGAGATTACGAGATTTCAGACGGTGTTGGCTTTACTAGCATTAAACTATAACAGCATGATTTATATAACTCTGTAAAGTGACTGTGAGCACGCTCGGAAATTTGTAGGTTTTATAATTCTCTCGTTTGCGCTCTTCCATCACTTCCTCCTTTGTAGGGATTTAGTAAATATCCACGTGCTTCTGAAAGCTTTTATCCTGCTTTGTTAACCTATTTGCCTCAATTTCCCAAATCAAAGGATTTGGGAAATTTGCTGAGTGTATGAAAGCAATGCTATAGCTTATATAGACTGTTCAGGAATGCTGGAAGTCGCATACATTACCGCTCACATTTTTTGAAAAATAGACGCGAATGTACATACATGTCGCTACATGTCGCATGAGTGAGCATGTCGCCTACATGTATGAACATTACCTTCGCGTGGCCATATCTCGCTTTAGAGTGGACGAATTCTGAATTCAAAGCCACCATTCGATTAAGCTCGGCGCGGATCTTCTGATTCATTGGAGGTGGGGGTACGATGTTTTCGATAATCCGTTTCCAGTTTTTTTCAAATTCTTCTGTGGAGGTCCTTTCGCGGATATGTGAAGCAGCGCCTATCCAACATAGAAGACTTTACTAAGTACTATTCGATAATACTGCTCTTGTAGATTGTTGTGTGCTAGAAAATAGGCTCAGACTTCTTTTCAAAGGAGATAGAAACGTTGGTGATACTGAAAAAATCACGCATTCTCAAATTACTCGCCATAACTTCCTTCGGAATAAGTATATTTTGAATCCGAAAACAGCGCCGTGCTCAGCTCATCAGGCGAATCTTTTTATATACAGCGTGTTTTTGATATTTCGATTGCAATCCTCTTGAATCTGCGGACGTCTTTTCGCGAAGGTGTAAAGCATCGAGCATTGCCCCGAGTAAATTCCAGCAAGGGCCTCTCGATATCATTTTTTCTGTAGATTATGATGTGCTAAATAATAGCCGCAGATTTCTTTCCAAAGGAAATAGAACGGCTGGTGAATTGTGAAAAAATCTTGTCGTCCATTCTACTCGCCATAGCCTTAGAATACGAAGCTATCTTGCTAAGCAGATGTGAGTTTCGGAATCAGCAGGTCAGATAATCTCTATGAACAAGTTTCCCGCATGTTCGGGTTATTTCATTTTTTTCTCGTTTTACGCTCTGGAAGCTCGCCGATGGATTTTGGTCAAAATGTTGATGCTCTTGAATTCTTAGGAAACTTCGCTTATAGAGGTAACACGCTCTTTACGAAAATCGTGGTCTTTGAGGATTACAGGGTCTTTTTGGAGATATACGGCAGGGCCCGGCATGAGGTTGTCAAAAAGGGTTTTCGACGAACTGTCCTTTGACCCCAAATTTTTTTACGAATACCATACACTACTTCATAAGCAGTAATATTGAGTTTCTATTGTCCAGGCGACAGCTCTCCTCGTGTAAACATTACGAAGCTGTGTCGGCTGAGTTGTATCTAATCATGTTAATAGCATTTCAAAAAACTTAACAGAATACTATAGATCAGCTCAACGAATCTGTAGCTTCTGCCGCAACGTGAGTGAGGGAGAAAATGTGAACAGCTCTGAAGAAAGAATGGAGAAAGAGATGGTGTCTAGATTGAATAATAAAAACAAATGAATTATCTAATTTCCGTTTCTTTCCTACCACTAGACGGAAATTAGACAAAGAATACGACCTTCCGCAGAAGTCATTAGTAGTGAGGGAAGGTCGTAAAATATAACCAAACCAGCCGCTCTCTGCCGCTACGCGGCAGGTCCGGCTGGTACACGGCAGCTTCGCTTCCGGTAAATCTTTCGTTTTGTTCTTTATTGAAAGTGAAATGCAGAAAATTTGCCATTTTGCACGAACTACTTCGTTTATAACCGGTGCAGTAAGAACAACCGTGGACAATTTCGGCTTTGTCAGTTTATTTCGAATTAACACTAAGCAATGAATATTACGCGAACTGCGAAAAATCAATAAATTGAAAGGGTCGATCATTATAGTTGAACAAACGGCTCATTAAAACACATCCCACCCATGCGTTATGCCTGGCAAATTTGGTCTATATTCCATAACTCCTTCTATCGTTTTCAAGCAAAGACAATTTCTAGGCAAAAAGTGCAAAAATCCATAAGTCGATAGCAACAAACCGTGTCTATCGAACAAATGGCTTATTAACAACGGCGCACACCATGCATTACGTCTGCCAAATCTGCCTTAAATCCTATGATCCTTTTTCTATTCATCGTGAACGAACATAAAAAAGGGGTAAATCAAATCTATAAATCTAATCTATATATCTAATCTATATCTTTTTGAAAAGTGGTAGTGCTGGCGACAACGAAGGTAACTTACATGCACCGGGGCAAGCTCTTCTTGGGCCTCTGGTGCTTCCTGGCCATGATGAAGACGGTTATGTGCAGTTACGGAGCTCCGCATTGTGCCACGTGCTCGAGTTCTTTGCGCAATGTGCATCTGCGGAATGGGGGTGGAGGTAGGTGCCGGTTCAAACATCACTTGTTGCCGCGAGTCAAGCGCAAAGATCGTTTGTGCTGTGTTCTCGTCGATTGGCTCGTGTCGTCGTTGGCCAACCCGTTCTGGGCTTACACCATGCCTGGATTGATCCAGTGTCTCCTGAAGGCGTCTGTTAAGCTGTGGTTCTTGTTGCCGTCGACGAAGATGACGTTCACGCATTGAGGCAAGACGCCATTCTCGTGCCTCTGTATTTCTCGGCTACGACGAAGACGGCTACGCTGGCTTCGGAAGTGCGCCTTGCAGTACGGGATCGGATTCGGCGATATGCACCTGCGACGGAGGTGTGGAGGTGGAGGGTCCATTGCTAGGGGGTCAATATCGGCGCCATGTCTCGGGTGTAAAAGTAGTCGAAGGAGGTACGACTGATGGCACCGAAGGCATGGTATGAATGAACCGTAAGGCCTGGATAGGGTATTTTGATTTGGTGGTCATATTTGATCTCGCGGATGAACCTTTTTGATTTTGTTGATGAGCCATGCAGTCGACGAAACCCGTTGCGAAAGGTGAATGCATAGTTAAATATCAGCTAGCCTCCAGAATGTGGCATACAAAAAATTAAGAAAAAAGGTTTAAAAAGTTTAGTGGTTAAAGTTGTAGATAATTTATTCGATTTGACCATGCTTAGCTATCCCTTCCTGCCAGTTTTCGCTCAGCAAAGATTGAAACCCAAAATTCGATAAATCGATAACCCCTATGGTGAAAAAGCTTAGTGACACCGGCCCCACCCCGAAGTTCATGTGTACAAAGTTTCGCTGAATTTAATGAAGTTTTCTAACATTTTAGGCCGGTCATAACGAAATTGCTAGGCAAAAAACGCAAAAAAACCGATAAATCGATAACGCCACTCGGCGATTTTCGGTGAAAAAGCTTAGTGACACCCGCCCCACCCAGAATTTCATGTGTGCAAAGTTTCGTCCAAATTCCTTGATTCTTTCTACCATTTCAGGCCGGTCATAAAAAAAGTGCTTATTCAAATATTATATAAGTATTGATGTAAGTATTGAAAGTATTGTGGATTGGGAGTGTAAACGGTGATTGGGGTGTATTATTGGTGAAGCATCCGAAGTTTTTGCTACAAAATTCGGCAAAGAAATTAGGAGCGGTTTCTGTAAAGTCGTAAAGTGGGTTAGAGGGAACCATGTAATTTTCGAAATGAGGAACCATAAGTGGACAGCTATGGGGGGTGCACTTCCTTGGGAGAGAGGAAAATTCTGCACTTTGGTCAAGATTTTGGAGTGATTTACTCTGAAGGCGCTCAAAAACCTCGAACAGTAGGATATATGAGATTTAAATTGAGGCGCTGTGATATAGACATTTTGAGGAGCAAACTTGAGTGCTAGGTATAGCAGAATGTTCAAAGAGAATTTTGAAAAAAAAATTGTTTGGGAAACATTTCAAAGTGAAGTAAGTTTTCACTAGTGCTAGGACTTTCTTAATATCGTCCTGTTCCCACACTATTCCTCTCTTCTAATCTTCAGTAGAACCAAGAAGCTTCTTAGAGGAGAGGGAGGGGGGCGGGAGGAAAGGAAGAGAGAGAGAGAGAGAGAGAGAAAGAGAAAGAGAGAGAGACTGGCTCAAAACTTTAAAGAGTCTTTAAAGTTTTGAGCCAGTCTCTCTCTCTTTCTCTTTCTCTCTCTCTCTCTTTATCAAAGGCAGCGTCCAGGCAGATCCGAGCTCGACGATCACGC